AAAATTATCATGTAATATAGCCTGCATTGACATCAAACATGAAATCTGTAATGACAATTACTGGCAATGGTAACATGACACTATTATCACCGGACAAAACCTATGATGACAACTTATTGGAGCTTATGACAACCATGGCATGGTTATGTCAATGATCTGCAAAGCTAAAATGTGACCCATTTTATGGGTATAGTTTGTATATATAAAACCCTGAAATGTAGGGTCATTTTAGCTTTATATATATATGAATTATGTTTAATATAAAAATTCTTCTAATTATTCTCTTGTTCTTTGAAATGCAAGACATTGCTTGGTTTGTGTGGAATGTGAGACAAATCTTCAGGACTGTCCCTCAAAATAAAGGATGGAAGGTCATTGTGATCTATTTTTTAGCTCATCTATTGATCTTTCAGCAGTTCTAATTGCATTTATTTTCTTCACAGTGATCTCTCAAACTGCTTGTCTTTTAGCAGCTGGAATTCGCCTCCTCCCTCGGAGCATCCAGCTCTTTCTCCTTTCTCTGTTTTCTTCTGTCTGCAGCTGGTCAATATACAATCTGTGTGGACCTTTGTTTTAGCAGCTCCGCAGTTCAAACAAGTCAGTTTGTGGGTGATGTCATGAATGGCAGGTTGTGGTACATCAGGCAAACTAGAACCAGCTGCCCTTGCAAAATTTTAGCATGTGCTGCAGGTTTTGTTCACTCCTTGGTAAACCTGACCCCCCTAAGTATTTACCATATAAATAACAATGCTAAATGTGAATGTGAATAATATTAATGGATATGTGAAGCTCTTATTTCTATTGCTTTATGTAACAGACACTTTCATATCATGTTATCGCTGCTGTTTTTAAAAAGTAAATGAATAGTCCTTTTATAGGTTCAATTTTTTCATTTTTCAGGAGCGGAAGGTGCTGGACACATCATTTGTGAATGAGGACAAGACATGCTCACAAAAAGCGGTGGAAAATACACAGCGTTAACAGTTTTGTCAAGTAGTTCTTTGCAGGTTTTATGCTTTCTGTAGGATAAACATGTCATTTACATATTGCTTCACTATCTTCCACACTTTACATTGGTCATCACTACACATATTCAATACTTAACAACTATATTCACTGCAAAAAATGTCCTACAAACTACATTAACAGTTCTATGGGCTGCCACAGAATGAATATGAATATGAACAGGAGAAAGAAGAAGGAAAGTAACTTTCAGTGCTTGGCCCCCCAAAAGATACGACATCAGCACATTGTAATACTCACATTGTAATGCAAAGGGAACCCAAAGTTATAATTTCTTCTTCCACATGGAATATTTTGATAAAGTGAGAGGCCTACTTTCTAATTCAAATGCATAAAATAATAGACTGGATAAAAGCGCTCTTAATTTTGCAAACATGGCATGGCAGAGCGTGATAATACTCATCTAAGAAATAAATATTAATCAAATGTCATATGGAATTGGCAAATTAGAGAGACTTTCATGTTTTAAGGAAATACTGCTGGGTGTGATAATTGCTTGTTTGAAAAGGATTAAGCAAGGCAACCCACGTGGCCCAGGCCCTTTGAACAATAATTAAAAGCAAACCCAAATCAAATTTGATTTCCTCTCTTTGTAATTACTTTTCTGGCACCAAAAGCTATTTAGATTATGATCTCATTCAGGTATGCAGCACTCCACCATCAAATGAAAATGCTTATAATACCCATCTGCGCTGAAATGTCAATGGTCTAAAGCACTCCTGACCTTAAAAGTGTTCCCTCACACGATGCGTTCTGACCTTACTCGTAGGAGTATGGTAGTATATAGTAAGAAGATGGAACAGTTAATACAACTAGTACACTTGTAAGAGCTTTTCATACTTATATGTTTAACATAACTAGGATAAGAAGTGCATCATTGCTCATGCTGCAGAAGTAAATGAGAACAAGCCATGTGATAAGCATTATAGAAAATGATTTACGGCATATGAGCGGACAGATTGACCACTAAACTCAGAGATTAGTGACGTACTCTTTTAGTCTGTCACTGTGCAGCTGGGTCAGTTTGCTCTCTTTTCACCACTGTGCATTGTCAATATGTTTTAAGGTTCAAGATTTGTACACTATTGTGCAAAAGTCAGAGACCACCCATCATTAATTTTGAGTCAACGGCCAGTAAATGTAAGATATTCATTTTTTCAGCATCAGGAAAAAAGCAGAAAGCATAGAATTAACAGAAAACAAAGAAGCCTTAGCTAAATATAATGTCACAATTTTTACTTTTTGCCTTTATTACAGCTTCCATTCTTTCCAGAAGATTTGTTTTCAGTTTTTCTAAGAAATCTGCAGGAATATTTTTACACACCTTCAAAGCTCAGTCTTACAAGTTGGTCTGCTTCTCACAATCCAAGTAATCTCAAACACATTCAAAGTCTGGGCTCTGAGGTGGTCTATTGTTCTGAGAACACCAGCAGCTCCTTTCTTTGATTTGAACATGTTCTTCTAGCAGCTTCTTGATAGCTACACATCCTTTCAGACCCACAGCGTTGAGCTGTCTCTTCACTGTGGGCTGGATTTTTGTAGCAAGAGTGGAGCTTGATCTTCTCCTGTCTTTTAAAAATGAAAATTTTAACCACTCTAATATTTCTTTGACTTTCCTCTTTCTTATGCAAGCATAGTATCTTATATCTAATCTGCTCAGAAATATCTCCTGGCTGTTTTGACTGGAAATTAAATAAACACGGGGTGCTCTCTGTCTTTAGCAAAATACTGTATGCACATTTAATTTCTGCACTTGTGTTTTGACAGTTTATCTTCATGCCTCCAGATCTGTATTTTGGCAGCAGTTCCCATGCTTTCTATTTCGCATTTACATTTGAGTAAGACTGTTTTTAGCATAAATTCTAATATAATCTTACAGATGTTCCATCATGGATGCTTCATTTAAAGAGTATTAAAGCATTTAAGGGTCCAAGCCAAAACTATGAAGTTCTGCAGAGGAACTTCAGTGTTGAAGAGATTTCAGTACAGAGGCTATCAATTTGCTTTTATGAAATCCCTGACTCTGCTTTAATCAGTCTGAAAAATGGATGTGCTGGTGTTCACTAATCTGCTGAAGTATCTCCTCTCCTTATCACTGCAAGATTTACAGAAATGCACTTCTGTTTGAACAGCGGTTTCATTTGTGGCTGTTGCCATGCCAACTTTCCTTTCCCTCTTCTCCTTCTCCGTCACTGAGTGTGATTCCAATGCAGAGTGCTGCACAGCAATCACAGTCATTGCTACAGTACAACTCCAAAAACCTCTTGCAAAGCTTCCTCACCTAAAAATACTTTCAAACCTGTGGAACAAAGTGTGGCACTAACCATGAAAACTTCCCTCTGATTTTATGTATCAACATTCTACTGCAACAGTTGTATGAATATCTTTCTAGTTTGCTTCAGGTTGTGCTTTTGAGCACACTGTTCCTAACAACCTCATGGCTCTGAATTTTAACATGACCATTTGACTGCATTCTATTTCTAACAGAGCCTCTAACAATATTCTGAAATATACAAGATCATCAAAATGTTTCATGTCATGAAGAAGCTTATCAGTCCACATTGTTACTGACCATTATCACAGGTTTCCATGACTTTATCATAAAGCCCTAAGCAGGAACCTTTGAAGGTTCTTCTTTTTCTTGGGGTTAAGCAGTGAAGAGTTCTCTTAAAACTCCATTGGACTTAGCACATAGTTTTCTATTCACAGTCTGAGTACAGCTGAAGGGCAAAGAGGATCCATTTTCTTTTGTGGGACATAATATAGACATACCGCTGTCAAAACCATGCATAATTCTTCACATTTTTCATATCATTGCCATGCTGGCATTAAGGTTACTCACACAAAAGTGCAAAACTGCATCTAGAGCTCCACAATGTAGAGAATGTAAGCACTCAACTTCATCACAACCTTGGAGAGATGGTAGGTGGTAGATTGTGCGAGGAAGAAACAGACTCAACCATCACTCTCTCTGTGAGAAACTGCTCAACTCTGTCTTCTGGCTGAGACGTGAATCTGAATACCAGAAGAGCCACTAACCAAAGCTTTTATGGGCTTTTATGGACCCAAGAAAGTAAGGTGTCTGTAACATTTGGGTAAATTGTCTGCATTATGCCTTAAATGTCTGTTATAAGGCTTTTGGTTGAGATCTCCAGGCTGCAAATATGAACTATGATGTAAAACTGTATAAGAAATTTGGCAGAGGTAAGTAGTTCTGGATGGAATTGCAATGTTGGACAACAAATCTCAGTATTATTTTCCATGTCTCACCATTTGGATATTTATATTACACTATGGTACTATGTTACTACTGGAATTGCCATCAGATGCTTACATTCATTTCATTCATTTTTTTCATTTTATAACATTTCAGTCATGTCATAACCCACAGTCATATGCAAATGTTCAGGTGCACCTGGTCAACATGTTTAGTTGATTTTGTAAGTGAAAATATCCTTAAGTTAACAAATCCTCTACAGAGAATTCTTTCTATACATTTAATTGTTAACAGAAAATACGGCCTGTGCTAAAGTTATGGCATATTTTATATTTCACATTTTATCTCTTGCAATATATTAAACTCAGCAAATAATAACTAAGCAAATAAAAATAAATTGTGCACTACAATTAGAAGAAAAACAACACTGTTTGTTCCCTGTAGAGGATGTCTGACTTATGTTCACTTAGAAAATCAACAAAGCGTTAATTTGATTGGGCATTCAAACCTTTGCATACAACTGTATAAGTCAAAAATGCCTTATACCTTAAACATGCAATAAACTCAATCATTTCAGAAATCTTGAACATCTCAAATGACAAGCTTATTGTCCAGCTACACATCTTAGGACTTACTATTTTCTACACACTATTTTCTAACTACTATAAAAGTGCTATGTAAGTTATGCAATGATGAGGGTGGGGGATTGAAATGTGTTTAATGGGTTACATACATACAGAGATTTTAACTGTTCACCTACCATACTGTCATAATATATGAGCTCCAGTTCGTAGTCCGGTAAGATGTCACTTCGGTTGTTGACGAGGTCCAGGGCCATCTGGGCAGCGGGCAGGCACGCCTGTCCACCGGGCCAGCCACCACTCATCGGGAATAAAGCACCAATATACAGCTTCTTCTTTCCTGAAACCGCACATGGCCAGGAGATAAGGGTCAACAAAGTATGGCAGAGGGCAACTCTTATCCAAAGTCTCTTCAGATGACTCAGGCTCTCCATAGATGCAGCTTACAGTCCAGTTTCTGAGTCTCTGTCACAGGTGAAGTGTGGTCAGGGTTGACCCTGCACTATAACACAATATAATACACTATAATACAGCTTAGTTCCAGAAAGACAAACCACTCTGAGAAGGACACAACAATTCCGAGTGTCTTAAAGAAGTGTTAACAAACGCATTGCGCTTTAGAGTTAAAGGTGTGTCACAGATCCTTTAAAGATGCATAACAGCACCTGCTTTTGTAAAGTTTTAGGTGGAAGTTGTCGTAAATTTTTTGTAAATGCTTCCACAAAGTTTTTAATAACAGAACAACAGGAATAGAAACAGTTACAATATCATAGATGTGGTTAACAGGTCTTTAAGGTCTTTTCTTGATGACCTAATCCATGCACTTCTTTGGCATTTCAAAAAAAAGGAGAAGGAGTGCACGGAACGTCTCACTTTGGCTATCGATACTTTGAGACAGTTAACGTGAGCTTGCCTGCTGTTCATAAAATTCCCCAAAAACAGAAATAACCAAAGATCTACAGTGCACGACTCTACTGTAATCAGACAAACAAACTACTGTAGCAAATTTTTCATTCTCACTGCCATGTTTTTTTTCTCATAAAATAATCAGATTATCCTTTCTGATGTTCAAGACGGAAGAGGAACCGAGGGCAACGCCGGCAAGACGCTCAACACACTCCGCAACTCACAGCTGCCTGCATGAGACAAGATGAAGTTTTACACTCCAGCATACGAGTCCAGCATTTGATCAGAACAGTGAAAAAGAGCAATTATTCTGCGGCATAATCCTTTAATCCGACGGAAAGAGAGACGCAAAAGTGTGGGCAAGAGCGAGCGCAGAGCTGCGTGTGTGCACTGCAGCTGAGCAAAGCAGCAGAAGACACGAGGAGAGCAGAGCTGAGAGACAGCACCTCTATATACAGAGAGAGAGAGAGGAGGAGGGAGAGGATGAGGAGGGGGAGAGAGAGAGGGGAGAGAGGCAGGGAGAGAGAGAGATTGGAATGAGGGAGGGAGGGGAGAGAGAGAAAGAGAGAGAGAGATTGGAGGGAGAAAGGGAGGGAGGTGGAGAGAAACAGGACAGAAGAGAGTGGGGGAGACAGAGAGTGAGAGGAAGAGAGAGGAAGGATGGAAGAGACAGGAAAGAGAGGTAGAGGAAATACAGAGAGGACCATTTGTGTCCCTCTGTCTTCTCTCTGTATTAAGTTCTCACTGTAAGCTGAACCAGCCAAATAAAGTAAAAGACACAATATTACATTTTTCATTGTTTGTTCTGGTGTCACAAATGAACACATTTCAGTTTGTGCACTACTTTGTACAGAATATAGTGCCTGTTGTTGCTCGGGAGTGTTTGAATAATGTACAAGTAGATGAATAGGAGTCTTTCTCAGAGCGGCGCTGTATAAGCATTCAATATCACCTCCTGTCTTTCTCCATCTCTTTCCCTCTCTCTCACACACACAACCCCCAACACACAATCATGCTCAACAATCAAACTCTCAAGTCATTACCACCAGCACCTCATACCGAGCTCGAATCCATTAAATCAAGTACCAGCCTACGTGACCACTTTCAAATAGCTGAAAACGGCAGAATAATGTACGCTCTGTGCCACACAGTGGATGTGCTGCGGCACACAGTGAACGAAACGCTCCAACAGCTCCGTTTCTGCTGCTTTGCACACTGCACTGGGGTGTGAGGCAGGTGCAAACACACACAGCTCACACACACTGTAGCCTACTTAAAGCACCTGTCAGCACTGGAGCTGACGGCCAAAAGCAATCCTCTCAGCTCCCATCAGCCATTTACATACAGCTATGTACATGAGTCCATTTACATAAAGCCATATACACACAGCTATATACAAACAGCCATTTACATTAATTCATTTACATACAGACCTTTACACAAAGCCATACACAGTACTGTGCAAAGGTCAGAAACTGCCCTTCAGTTATTAAGTTATTCATGTTTCAGCGTCAAAAAATTAGAAAATGATTTAAGCGCTACAGCAGATGAATACGTTATCAAAATTTTCACTATTAAGTGCGTCCACTCTTTGCCTCTTTCACAGCTTCGACTCTTTGAGAGACTTTCTTTCACATTTACAATGAAATCTGCAGGGATATTTTTCCAAACCTCTAAAGCTCAGTCTTGGAAGTTGGTTGCATTTTTCACTTTTCATGATCCAAGTTATCAACACATTCATTAATGTTGAGGTGTCCAGTCTGTTGTTCTGAGAACACCAGCAGCTTCTTTGTTCGATTTGCAAATTTTCTTTGTTTTTTTGTCTGTGTCCTTTTCTCAGTGAGGGCTCCTTGAGAGCCACACATCCTTTTAGGCCCATAGCACAGAGTTGTCTTCTCACAGTGACAGGTTGGACAGATCTGAAGGAAGAGTGGAGCTAGATTTTCTCTTCTTTCCCAAAGATGAAAGCTTTAAGTGCTGTTTATCCGATGGTGACAGTTTGTGGTCTACCAGGTCACACGTTTGTTAGGAGTCTTTTCTCTGTCTGTTTAAATCATTTTTTTAACTCCAGTTTTGGAAACTTATTTTTTTAACTGATTTTTCTTTGACTTTCCCTTTTCTTATGCAAGTGGACAATTTAAAATCTAATTTCTTCAGAAATATCTTCTGAAAATGGAAGAACTTGTACTTAATGGTCACTTTGACTAACAAAATAACTAGATCAAATAAATAAATTAAAAATAAACGACTGTTGCATGGTACTGTATGCACAGAGCCATATACAAAGACAGACATTTATACACAAGATAAATGTTTCCTCCGAGCCTCTGATATTGTATCACATTATAAGATGCTATGGCCAACAGAAGCAAAAAAACAAATTATTGAGTATTTCAAATCAAGGAGGTCAATGTAGTGTACTAGTGTATGCGCTAATGTATGCACTAGTTGGTGATGGTGAGGACAGAGAGACTGTATCAAAGATACTGTCCACTGTATGTCCAAAAATTTATAAACATCTGCCTATTAGACATTTCTTATGAAATCATGGGTATTTTTAGGGAGTTCCCCCTTTGCTGCAGTAACAGCCACTATTCTTCTAAAGAGGCTTTACACTAGATGTTAGAACACTGCTGTGAAGAGTTGATTACATTCAGCCACAAGACCATTAGTGAGGTCAAGTACTGATGTTGGATAATCAGCTCTGGATGACAAAACACCTCTCCAACTTCAAATGCACTAATTATAAGGGATGTCGGGACACTTTCAGACATATAGCATCATTCAGCACATTCAGTGGTCCATGCAGCTATCACCTGACTGATCAACACAGACTGAGCACAACATATGTTTTCTTACTCTTTTCAGTTTTTTAAAAACAGCCCGCTGCTGCTCTGCACGCTTTGAAGTTGACCTGAGCCCATCCCGAGCTCCGGCAGACCCCAGCTCTTCCTGTGACATTTGGTGCTCTCTCTCTCTCTCTCTCTCTCTCTCTCTCTCTCTCTCTCTCGGTGTGAGTTTAATTCCAATCTCTCCACATGCCACTCATGAATTATTTACTCCTGATCTTTAGTTGATATTTAATGAAAGAACACCAGGTGACACCTACCATGAAGCGAGATAATTACGGAGATATGAGTTTCTCAGTGTAACTACCTTCATATCTTCCAGCAAATTATAGGTTTATATATTATTAAGTGTAAAATGACTACACTCATGCTGTAAGTCTGCAAGTCAGTGAACGATCATTTTCCAAAATGGAATGAAAAACTGAAAATGTCCTCATTGGTCCAAAAGTGAAGAGATCAGATTAAGCTAGAGGATTATACTAGAGTTTAGCAGGGATGCACTGATGTGAGAATCTTGGGTTGATGCCAATGTCTGATATTTTCATGTAAATATCTTGCAATGCCGAGACATTTATAATATATGTAGAAATTACACTGCACCAAGCTCGGCAACTGGTACTCACCAAAACCACTGTGTGTTTGTGAGTTATCATGATTATGCTACGCATACACACACACACACACATACACACTCTCGCATACACACACACACACACACACATACACACACTCTCGCATACACACACACATACACACACACACAATTACAACTACCTGGATTGACCGTAGAGAGAAATATAACATTGACTACTGTAGAGCTACAAATGCAACAAAATGAATAAAACACAGACATTTAGCGCAGTAGCCCAGCATCGCGTAAACATTCTGCTGTTCTGAAGTTCAATAAACAAGTCATCAAATGTCAGTTTTAAATATCAGTCAAATGTAAACATGTGTCCAACGATGCTAATTTTTTAAAACAATTATCTGCCGATATAGAAATGATTCCAATATCATTGTGCATTTCTAGTTTTAAAATCTCTAACATAATATAGAAATATGCAAATATGTCTTTTACTTCTAAACAGACCTTATCTCACATGACAAGATACTGTGAAACAGAAAATATTCTGTGATGTCTTTTTAATGTTTCCTGCAGCTTTAGACTGTTTAAGGCAAGTTAATGTGATTAAATACAATTCAATGAAATGTGAACATATTGGTCCATTCATCACAAAATGATCACGTAATGTGAAAGGCAGCTGACATTTTCAATGTATTTAATTCAAAAATAATAAAAGGACAGCAACAATAGACTGTATATTTAAAGGGTTTTAGTCCAAAAAGCACTGTAGATAACTTTCAAAATAATCTTATATGTTGTTGGGAGTGGGCTTTACACATACAGGAAATATCAATGCTATATTACAATTAACATCATCTTTACTGGAGAAATAAAAATGTATTTTCCATTATATATCAGCTGTTATTCTTTTCAAAAATGTTTATATCCAAAATTGATAGAAATTGATATGCAGCATTTTGTAATGAAACTCTTCATATTTACTTTTGAAAACATTACTATTCAGATTTCCAAAATGCTCAGATATTTCTGAAAAGGTCCTTTTCTTAACCCTCAGGCCTCAGCAAGAAGTAAAGTCCTCACTGATGTTTTTGCAGTGCAATATGCTGAAGGTAAAGTGGACACTGACAGTCCCTTAATGCAGAAATTCAGCAGGTTACAGCAGTTCTTTAGTGCCATGTTCCTGGCAGTTCAGTGATTATGATCAACAATCTGTGTGCCGCCTACTGCAGCATTAACAATTTAACGTGGCTTTTGTCAGGTTGGTCTTGCTGATCCACAAATGAGAGGAAATGCGACACATAACACACATATGCACGGAAACATAAATGCGCATGCATACACACGACTGCACACACACACACACGCCAAGAGCTAATCTTCACCCTGCTGAGACTGCACTACAGTAAATAAGCAGAGATCCCTCCCTGTGAGTTAACGGTGGGGTGAGCATGTGGGGGTCAGGAAGAAAGAAAGGGCGAAGGAAAGAACGAGGAGGGGAAACAGCAGGCAGAAGGACTGGATGGATGGATTTATAGATTGGTGGGTGGATGGATGGATGGATGGATGGATGGACATGGATGGAATGGATGAATAGGATAAATGGATGAGTGGATGGGACAGATGGATGAGTGGATGGATGGATGGATGGATGAATAAATGGATGGATGGATAAACTGGGAACCAGTCTAAAATAACTTAATAGGTGTGGAAATTGTATAAAATTTTAAAAGATTTTTAAGTTGCTGTTTAAATCAGCAAGAACAGTTTGACTGAGAAGAATAAACAAACAACAATAATGAAGTCGGCCTTGTTGGCCCTAGAAATTCATTCTAAGCCTAAGAAGAAAAACAAGCTTCTCAAATGTGCTTAAAAGTTTAATCAGCTTGGTCAAGGCTCCATCTTTAATTGCAGTTTTTTCTTTTCAGCAGAAGCCTATTCTTGGTAAAAGACAGCCCTCTTGTGGTCAAATGAAGCATTACAATTACGGCCTAAGCCTTCACATTAAAACATTTTCAGTAGAAATGTCCTGGTAGGCCACAGCACTGCAGACTTCAGCCTCCTGCCTCACTAAACTCACCTGATTCAACTCATTGGCTAATTGACAAGGCCTTCGCAAGCTCAATTAACATTAATCTCTGCAGAGATGTGGCCCTGAAGAAATCCAATTTGATGTAACTGACTTTGACTTTAACATTTTATTTCAGTTACAGCAGCTTCACAGCACATGAAACACAAAAGTGCACAACTTAAGATGGCACGTCAAAGGAATAGGTCTGAATTTTGAGTAACAGATAAGTATTATTCAAAGTGCGGTTCATGACTCCCCTTTGTAAACAATATACTCTTTTTTGTCAAACTTTGTCTAAAATACCAATACATTTAAAAACACCAGGTCTTACCTGTATAATTCCTGTCATCTGATGGCAAGCAGAAATAGAGAGCAAACAGAATTCAAGTTAAAGAACAGAAAGTATTAGATTATTAGAGTATTAGAGTAGGTGCTGCAAAGTGGGGTGTTCATATGGGTTATAATTACTTTGTGATAACTTGTTGTCTAATAGTCTTTAACTCTTAGGAGTCACAATCATTGCCAACGAAAACAAAAGCATAATGTAAGTCGATATTATTAGCTCATTAAGTGCAGATATTCTATACAAAGTGGAAAAATTTTATGATTTTATTTAATGTAAGGTTACTGTTTTGTGTACAGTCTCGTTTTGCAAAAAGAAAAAAATGCCATGTTTTGTCATTGCCTGATGTGCAGACTCAAACTTGTTAATACAAATGGAATTGGATAGATTTAAGCAATCCCAACATACAGAGACAAAGAGAAAGAAAACTTGGGTAAAAAAAGACACGACCAGCTAGTGCTCACTAGACTGAACTGGGCTGGCAGAACTGTCGGTTTGAGTGAGTGTGAGAGCCGCCCTGAGAAATTCCCTGAACCATTAACATGTTTGCCCCTCGTCAGCTTCCACACTTTCTCAAACAAAACAAATTCCACATCAGGAAAACCGGAGTCACTTTTGATTAAGCCTAGACAGGTATGAATGTGGCTTGTGGTTTGAGTCAGATGCCCTGTTCATAACAGCATGCATGTACACTGATTTGCCTGTTTATTAGGAACATTTTATAACATTTTACCTTTTATCTACACTCACTTGTCATTTTATCAAGTACACCTACCATTAACAGTGGCCCTCAAAAGTATTTGGACATTTGTGCCATACTTAAATGTATTAAGTTCATTGTGTAAGAAAACAAAAGGTCAAATCAAGAGGCATTTATTTTTAAACAGACCATTCCAAGACTGTCAAGAGTTTTTTGCCAGAGTTTTGTTATAAAAGGCAACTACACGCTTTGAGCAGTTTTTTTGCCTTCTGCAAATTAATGCCTTTGTACAATTCAACACGACTTTAAGAAAAACAGCACCAGACTTTAATATTTTCACCTCTGTGCTTTACAGTACTCTTATTGCAGTCTAGCTGGAGTTCTTCTCCAGGCTTTCTCCACACAAAGAGTCTACCGTCAGCTAGACGTTGTATTAAAAGTGTTTTTCTTTGAAACAAAAATGATTTTGTTAAACATTTTATGAAGTAACTTAAAGAACATTCTTAAAGTTTACAAATGGTTAAAGTTCCCATATACTTTTGGAGCCACTGTGGGTGCACACTGTAGGTACACCATTACCAACTGTAGCTCATCTGTTTCTATGCACAACTGTTTGTAACATACCCATACCTGCTGGGATCCTAAAACACTTCACTGCTGTGCAAGCTATATCTGGTTAACAGTGACTATTTTACACTGATGGGGTAGAGGAGTGCTGGTAAATTATGCAGCAACATATGGGCTACAGTCAGTAATTATAAACCTATAAAGTGTACCTATATGGTAGATGTAGGTATTTCTGATAAAACAGCCAATATAGCTACAAAGTAAACTGGCAACTCAGTATATGAATGTGTGTGTGTGTGTGTGTGTGTGTGTGTGAGAGAGAGAGAGTGTGTGTGTATGTGTAGCATAATCATAATAACTTACAAACACATAGTGGTTTTGGTGAGTCCCAGTTGCCAAGCTTGGTGCAGTGGGAGATATTTCTGCCCTCCAGCAGGAATCCAGCATGACAGCTGTAATGCAGCACTGTGCCTTCTACTGGAGGTCCAGCGGGCAGCACTGTCACTCTTCCATTCTCCAAAGACGTCCAGACACGTGGACACAGCAACACTGACAAGTAGAGAGATGCTTTTAGTACATCTGCTTTGTTGTTTCAGAATGAGGCAATACGCACATCCAGCTGGCCCATTTGCTCATGGGCCTTTAGCATTAAAGGGAAAGTCCTCCAAGTTTTTAAACTTACAGACTCTTTACAGCGGTGGTGACAGAAACCAGGGGATGCAATTTATACAACGCAAATATAGTGCTTTTACTTCATATTCACAATGATAAGTGCATCTATATGTGTCTTTTGAGTTTTTATATGTAACGCCGATATTGGTAAAATAGTGCTAAATCAGAAAAAATACATTTTTGGGGGATTATTTTCAGACGGCTGGTTCCTTTCACCACCACTGTGAACAATTCAGAGTCATTAGTTTTCTCTAAAACGGAACACTTTACATCAAACCACTCTGAATGACTTTCTTTACACCTTAACCATTTAAATAAGCAGACATTTTGAAAAACTGGTGTAATTCCTACATTAAGCACTCTTCCATTTTCTTTATATTTCAAGATTTAATATAAAAATACTAGCTGGCTGATGCTTTAAAGGGCTTATTTCATGGAACGCAGATTTTTCTTCACTGTTCTGAAATAAAAGAGTTGTTAAAGTTTCTAAAGTTACCATTTACTCCTTACTCCACACAGTCCATTCACTGTAAAGACTACCTAAACAAGAGAAAACATCTTAACTCTAGCCAACATAGCTAATATTTCTCACTAAAAAATTGTTGTAAGAATATTCCAAGACCATTTAGTCTATTTCTATACATTTTTATTTGTTTTAAGTAATTGTATCTACTGAAGGTGTCTTATTCAACTGGCAGATAATATACTGGTATTGAGACATAATGCAGATAATTTTGCTGATTTCAAGAAATAATACCTGAAACAAGTAAAATTCAGATATTATTAGATTAATATTTGATTCCTAAATATTTAAATTATCACCAGATAAAATGACCTAAAACAAGTAAAAATGTATAGCAATAGATTAATTATTGTATAATATTCTTACAATATTCTTCTGATATTCCTCTTAGATTTAAGATGATTCCACTTGCTTTTGCCATGTATATGGAAATTTAACTGCAAAAACTGCCTGTACTGAACTCACTATTTCCTCATGAAAACCAACACAGTTACATATATCGGGCTATTCAGCCTACAGCACTTAGCCCTGCCCACTCACACTCAAGTTACAAGGAGTGTTTCAGCCTGATCTGCTTTTTGAACGAGGCACAATACAGGGCAGCCAATCAGAACACAGCACATTTACATATATCAGCCTGAAAGGCACAGTAACAAAGACAGCTTGTATAATTGTGGGATAAACAGAGGTAGGAAAATGGTCATGTAAAAATGAATTATGACCATTTTTAGTACATAAAATACACGTTACAAGTGAACCCCAGGGAGAAAGTTCATACAATATGTTTAAAACAATCATATGTAATAGACCAATAATAATGATAAATAATAAATAATAATGTAATAAGTCCAAGGTATGTTTGGTTTAATATTGTATCTCAGAGGTCTTGGAATGTTCCAGGTTTTCCAGTCTTAACAATGGAAATATTCGGGACACATGACTTTAAGGACCTACCAAATAAATCCTACTAATCATATGTATTAAATAGCAATAAGTACTTAAATCTGAACCTTTGTTTCTCATCAAAACCAGCCATGAAATACAACCTACAAACTTCAAAGTGCGCCAGTTTCACAGCACAAATCCCTGTTATATAACACCATATGAAAGATTCAGCCAGAGCGTTTACCTTGCAGTGAAGCCTTCACTTTTTTTTACAGCCATATTGACTGGTACTGGGGCAGCTTCAGTTAACGGCTATGATTAAATGTGATTAAAAGTGTTTCAAACTGAGCCCCAGCACTCTTGATTCAAGGCATTTGGGAAGTTCTGAAGCAATTAACCGATTAAAGTGATATTGGCTATCAGTTGTTGTAGTAAAATCATTTCATTTACATTTACATTTACAGCATTTAGCAGACACTCTTATCCAGAGCAACTCACAAAAAGTGCTTTGTTGTCTACCTAGAGAAAGTATCTTTGTTAGTTACAAATAGGTAAGAGAGTTTTCATTGATTTCATAGGTTTCATTTTTGATATGTACATACTGGTATACACTCTGATCTGATGTATATTGTTTCTGGACTATTTCTGTCAAATACCCATTTTATAATACCTGTGAATACACACGTAAAGTTACTCTATCAAGTGTTAAAGAGAAAGTTCTTTTAATCATCAGAAAGTTCTTTTAATCATAAACTGAAGCATCAGTTTAAGATACTTAAATCTCAGATATTTGAAATGCTTCTCATCTTTCCCATTTTGGCTATGTTCACATTACCAGACCGAATGTAATGACACAAACACGATTTTCAGCCTTAATGTAGAGGTGGGCAATATGACGATATTTTAATATTATCCTAACCTTAACGCCGCAATACATTTTTTGTGGATATTGTTAGTATTTAAAGAACACCGACTTACTACATGTTTCATCACAAGGAGAGCATAATTCGTCCTGTCCAATTGTACTTAATTGTGCAACGGTGTATGTGAAACACTGATCATAAATCACTCTATTTATAGTTTATCATAGTATTTTCAAATGTGGCACTACTGGTTCTGACTTTTTTTCAATTCCAACTTACCTAACCTCAAAAAACTAAATACCTTTTTTTGATGTAATAAGTATTGTAATGTTATATTTGTGCCATATTGCCCACCCCTACTTTAATGTGACACAGATTGGATGTTTTCAGAGCTGTGTGGACACGAATCTGATGTTTTCAAATCAGATCTGAGCTACTTTCTTATGTGGTCATAGATCAGATACGATCAGATTGTGGCCATAATGACCTTTATGACAGCGCTCATATCAGAATTCATGTATTTTTTTCACTGATAATGAACCATTTTTTCACCTTGGTCTCGCTCTAACAATGAACAGCTGAGAGCTGTTCAGAACGAATTATCTTCATGACAAAGGCTTGTTCTGCTGGTTACTTAGTTTGTTGTTCATGACGCACAAGCATCACGTGATGTTCATTTATGTGATGTTATTGATTAGAATGTGCACATGCAGGTTGTTACAGTTCACAAGTATGTTCACATTACTGACAGATTACTTACCTACACAAATGTAAACCATCATATTAGAAACATCGGATTTGAACAAAAAATCACAATTAAACAATGTTTATTATGTGAACATAGCCTTTCAAACCTCACTACCTGCCCATCTCCTCGCTGTCCCTACCTCCTAACTCTCAATCCAGGCTCTCTGTATTAAGGGTCCAGGCTTCTAGGTTTAAGTAGAAGCTACCTAGAAGTTCACAGAGTTCTCTCTCATCCTACTGTCATATAGTTTCTTCTCATACTACTACCATATTTTAAAAATGTGGTCCGAACGTGCAAAGTACATGTCAAACTCAAACGGGAATACCAACACAAACGTGGCCTTTTACAGTTAATGACTTTCATTGAGTGAACTGAATGAATGAGTCACACCTCTTGAAGGACTTCAAATTCATTCTTTTTTAACACCCAATTCATAACTAAGACATTTAGCAATCTAGCAAAGAAGATCCTATTTAAAGCTAACACTGCTCCCTACGGGGGTCTGTTTAAGGGTCACATCCTTTGAGCAGTTGTAGAGGGGCTTTTCACTGAGTCAGAAACGCAGTCTATTCAACTCCAAAGTTAATATTTCCTATCACCTGACATCCTCAGGGAACTTAAAGTATCTGGTAATGAATCACAGAGATGTGCTTACAGCATCGGCTCTGATGGTCCATCTCAGTCCAGGTGCCATCGGAGAGACACTTGCGTACCTTGGGGCCCACGATCACCCTGCTGCCCCGGCAGATGTACTCTATCTCATAGTCTACAGGTAAAATCTGCACGCTGCGGATCTACAACGACAGAGAGAGATGAGGGGGGAAAAGCCAGAGATGATATATGAGATTCCTTTGTTATGTAATGATGTGCTCTCCAGGCTAATGCGGTACTGTAGAGCTGTCAGTCTAATGCACTGCACCAACCCTACCTGCTCCTGAGTCAGTCCTCTGTACCGAATCCCTCCATCTCTAGGGGGCCGAATTATTGCGCATCCTGAAAAAGAGAGAAAAAATGTGGCCAAAGTACGCAGAAGCAAAATATTTACAGTTGAAATGTTTCACATTGGTTTTAGGTTAAAGACTAGAGCTGGTCCAGCGTAATTAAGCAATAGAACACAAGAGGACACCATTAACATCATGGCCATTCAGTCGCAGGCAAGTACTGTAGATCATCATGGTCATGATGTTGCTCACAAGAACAGCCCTGAGTGTCCTATTGCTTGTATACAACTGTTAGCACACAACAGTTAGTTAAATGCAAAATAAAAAAACTAAATCAAAGAAGCCCCATATTTCATATTAAGTGTGCTTTAACACTGTTAATTCTTTCAGCCAAAAAAGTAGCTTCCTTTTGTACTACAGATAGAGCCATACAACTGTTGCAATATCAGGTTCAACTCAGCTTTTTCAGTATTTCTGGCTAATTCTTGTTTGTTTAGCTGTTCTGTAGTCACAGTTCAGAATTTGATGTACTCCTCCTGCTGTCACACTCTTCTTCAAAACGTGACAAAATGAGCTGCAAGTAAAATATTATCTAATGTATTCAAGTTCTGTTTCTGTATGTGGTAAAAACATTCTAATGGTTGGCTGCAAAGTAAAGCGAGTTGTTACTTGCTTTATACCGTTACAGATACAGTTACTAGGAGAAAAGTGCTGTTAGCACAAATAACAAAATGTCTAGAGCTCTTCTCAACCAATCAGACTGTGCTGTCAGAACCAACAGCTGAACAATGGAATGTAGCACATTTAACACAACCACTATCATCGCATGTGTTCACAAGCAGACTTCATCCACTGGAGGAGTCCTAATGAAGCCCTCAGGCCACAATCTACATATTAAACTAGGGCCGGACAGTATGACAATATTTTTCACTATTGTGATAAATTAGGTCACACTACACGTTTCTGATCATATAGTGGATATCTTCAGCACTGAAAGAACACTTACCAATAGCATGTTTCCTTACAAAGATAGATTAATTAGTCCTGCAAAATGTAAATTATTCAAAAACAATATGAAGTTTGTGCTTTTAAGGACAACACATTTTTGTGTCTTATTTAATGCTGGTAAATTAAAATGTCTCACAATTTTAACATACTATAACATAACAGCACATATTTTGTGCCACAAGAACACAGCAAAATGCTGTCACACAGGCTGTTTGTACCTTGCACAAATATGCACTTTCAGTGATCTGATTGCACCCATATTTCACTTGACCACATATAAAGCCAGGTGTAAACAACCCCAGGAAGTACTGTTATCAGGATACGATGCAGCCACTTTCGCAGGAAGTCAGAGACAGATCTTAAATACATTTAACACAAGAGTAAAGGGAATGTGTTTTCCATATTAGCATACATTTACATAAGTGGGAAATGTGTTGGGTAGCAGGTGAGAGGAAAGGAAACGTAAGATGGAGGGTAAACAAGGCTGGAGTTACCCTCAAACCAAGTGCCTTCTTGCTCTTTGGGCCAAAGAAAGAATTCAAGCTTGTCAGTTTATATTATGGGGAGTTAATGGAAGTAAGAGGGAAACTACATAAGGGTTGATGTGCTTTTTACACAAGAAAGTAAAATCGGATCTAGTCACACCAGAGATGCGTTTTAATGAAAAGTCTAAATGGTATCCAGCTAAAATATCCACACATGATCTGCACAGGAAACTGGTCAATGCAAGATGTAAACAGCCTTACAGCCTGCTTACACACTGCCTGTGCTAAATAAGACCCCGTTTACACTTGACATTAACACGTCCTGTGTGATCCGATCATAAGTAGACAACACTAAGCACAGGGGTGGATGGGGAACAATGCCTCTCAAAGGGACTGTATACACTTCGAATTAATATCTGATCATGGTGATCTATTCGTGGTGATGAGATCATCATCCAGCCAAAACACAACACATTTACACTAGTCTTTTTCAAATGTAGGTTCTGTATGCTGATATCGATTGGATCTAACTTCCCTGAACAATATTTACATCTTTAACTCAGGCTGGTGTGGCACCAGTGCAGAGTACGTGTGGCCTCTACATGCTATGCTGTGTTTAAGGCTTTACAAATCACAGTGCAGTGCTTTCCAGCATTTTAAGCTACAGAGGAAAAAAACAAAACAAATTATGTACATTCTGCTTAGCAGCCACAATTGAAACATAGTTGAAAGAAAAAAATGAGTCAAAATCACAGCCAGGAGTGCTGAGAGAACTGCGTATGGTCCTTCACAGGCAACAAATGGCTTTTTGCATTTGTAAGCCTACATTTGAAAAAATAAGTTGTTTAATACTGGTGAGTCGACTCTTTGAGTTGGCTCTTTTAGGCAAACATTGCAACTATTTAATCATAGCCATTGCTTCACCTGCTCTTCCCCTTTTCTGTATCTTAATATTTTATACTAATAGTAAAACTTTACTCTCTGCTTACATTCTTCTCTCTGTTCTTGTGTGATTGTTTGCTGTCCAGTGTCGACCAGAGGAGGATGGGTTCCCCTTTTGAGTCTTGGTTCCTCTCAAGGTTTCTTCCTCTCACTCTTAGGGAGTTTTTCCTTGACACTGTCGCCATTGCTTTGCTCATGGGAACTTTGACCTGGATTTTTCTGTAAAGCTGCTTTGTGACAACACCTGTTGTAAAGAGCGCTATATAAATAAACTTTGACTTGACTTGGGAACTGCTTTCATTGAACAGCTGATTTTTTTGTTTTCACATTCACAATTCACACAAATAGATAGATCTTATGACACTATAGGTCATGGGATCTTCCTCCTCTGACTCATTCAGTATAATGCCAAATCTGGCAAGAACAGTAATAATAGTGTTTTTGTTTTATTCTTACTCATGTCTTGACAGTTTCACATTTATTTAAAAACGTTGTTTTCAACAAATGTACCAGACAAAAAAAACAATTTTGTTAATTACCTAATTTAAAGCTAGACTAAGGTTTGCTTGAAAATTAACTGACAGATAATATTGCTCACTTAGCTACTTTGGGGAAAAAAAGCTGGCAACTCTATTGAATAATGAGCCATTTGGGCGCTGAAGGAGCCTGCTCTTATTAGTGAGCTGAGCAAGTTAATCTGACTCACTGAAAAGAACCGGAAAGCTCACCACTATGTTTAACGAGAGAGGCAGAAGCAGAAGCAGAAGGTGGCTTGCGTATATGAACAACGTCCACATATGGAACACATTTAATGCCAGGTGTAAAACAGGGCCTCGTTGTGATCTGATCACCACCTTCAGAGGTGGTGAGGGATGCATATCACCGTATCACATCTGTAGTTTGAATGCTAATGAGTCCAGATGCATTCCCAGCAACTAGGTTTGTTCAGCAGAGAGAATAAGTAGTGCTGGCTGATCTGATGAGCTGCATTTTGAAACTTTTGGTCTAAACCACTCAGATAACTCAGTGGTTATCTGGGCTTCTTGAACACTAACGCAAACAGATTAGCTCCAATATTTTTTTTCTCCAAGTTTCAGCCTCCATCCACACAAACACTGCAGTTTTACGTGTGATGAGCGTCTTTAGGTCTCTGTATCTGACAGACTAAAAACAGGACTGTCTGTTTCTGATCTGAAATCAGATTTCATTATTATTGAGCAGAGTTAGCAGAGCAGTTAGTTTTATTCATTTTTGCTTTATCATTACAGGAGAAATACAGTAAAGCAGCCTATCTGCGATGTAACAGCTGTTTGTGTTGTTCCTTTACTGTTTCTGCCTCTTTCAAAAACAGTTTTAAGGAGCAATGCAGAATATCTGTTGCTGTACACCTCATGAAAACCCTCTTTAAGAAAGTAGGAATTAGAAAATAGGGCAAGTGTTTTATGCCTGGTAACACTTTCTATGAATGTCACATTTGTAAGCATCTATAAACACATTTATAACATGTTATAATGTATTCATAAGGCATTATAAACATGGTTATAAATATTTATAAAAAAGAATTACACTGAATTACACTTTATAGCCATGTTCATTATACATTATGAATTGTTACTATAATGCATTATAAATAGTGTTAATAACATGTTATAATGTCAGTGCCAAAGAAGTCAGTCCCAGCTTGGACAGTGTAAAGTAAAAACAAATACCAAGCTAATGGTGGTGTACATTACCTTTCCCACATTGGGTAAAACACTGAGGGCAGCACTAGTTTAAACTCTGACATTTGAAGCCTGTAATGTGCTTTACTGTGTATGTTTTAGTGTTTCAGCAAATCCTTCAGTAAATACTTCAACTTGAAGCCTCACTCTTAACACTGGAGGAGGCTTTAGTACAGTACGCTTCACTCTACTTAGAGCGGACAAATACGACTTATGAGCTCTTATAATTTGTTATGATCAGTACTTATAATGTATTATGTTAACAATTCATAATGCATAATAAACATGGCTATAACGTATAATGCAATTTTTATAAATATTTATAGCTATGTTTATAATGTCTTATGAATGCATTATAACATGTTATTAATGTGTTTATAGATGCTTACAAAGGTGACATTCATAGACAGTGTTACCGCCTTTTTTTTTTAGAAAGAATAATTATTTTTAATTTGTTGAATAAAACATTATTGCCAGAATATCTGCACATTTTTGGTTCCCAACTAACCAAATAATCAAAGTCATAATGGCCCAACTAATCGATTATGAAAATAGTCATTGGTTGGAGCCCTAGTTAATACCAAGTGTGAACAGGACTAAGGGTGATGTTTTTAAGAATACTCTAATAAGCATGTAATTGTGGATCACAAAAAATGACAGAGCTACAGCCAATTGCCTAACAAGCAGGTACTTTAAAACGTGTAGTTCCTGAGTTAACTAAGCAATTAATTTGTCATGTGATCATTTCCATCAGGGTAGAAATGTTTTAAAGGAATTTTTCAGCAAAAAATTTACACAATTTCCCTTTACCCCAAATGCAGTCAGTCAGCCCAGACATGTTTTGTGTCTGATGGTTTGCACTAGAGCTGTGAGGATAGTAGCTGTAGTTAATAATTAATAGAAGTTTATATCCCATCAATTACCATTGCGCAAACTTCACGCAACAAATCAACACACGCTATCCGCAAACTGCACTGATTTATTAAGAAATCTCAAATACACTTGCTTAAGACGGCTTAAAATCTACAAAACTGGACAAAAGTAAGCTGCACAGCTACTTGCACTTCTGTCCATTTTTATACATAAGACCATGTCATACAGTGCCGGAAACCACACAGGCAAGTCTAGTGTCATACCTGCCACTAACAACACTGTAGAGTAATTGTTTAGTTCACCTATTACCAGAATCACTCCTGTTCTCAATCTACTCATCCTCTGTCAACACAGACTGCATGCTGAATCATGAGTTTTCCATTTCATTCATTTATAATAGGTAAAACCCTCGGCTCATCTTAAACGTAGATTTTTCTCTATACATGTAAATAACGTTTGTTGCTGCTGTTCTGCTTAAATATTAGTGTTGTGTTGACATGCAAAGCCCTAATGCTCTGTCACAACTAAACTCATCTTTTAACACTACAGGTCACCATGTTCTCTTCAATAAGCTACACAGTGTAGGCTTTATATAGATGCCTAGAATAAAATGAGCTAGAACTTTCACAGAACAACCATGGCCAACCACTTTGCATGTCAGGAAGAGGATACTGTTAAACATCTCTCTGTGGTATTGCATCACAACTCACATCTCTCTCTCTCTCTCTCTCACTCACACACACACACACACAAATACACACACATTACCTCCGGTTGTTGAATTATGTATGGACGCGATAAGAGTGGGAAGCATGTTGAAAATTACAAGAAACAACAGCTGCGCCATTTCTGCATCTAATAAAGGATGAGAGAGAAGAGACCAGGTTAAAAATAACAATCACAGTCCATTTGAATATTTCAACATTCATAGTTGCTAATTACAGTGAGATGGTAGGGCTGTCATAAATATTCAAATAAACATGGTTTTATGATTTAAAAAAAATGATTGGTGAACATTTACATTCTTGATAACTCGGCATTGATTAGTTGGCAATTTGTGTGATGGTAATACATCTACTGGTTATTCTTCCAATAATAAACAGAGCCTGATATACACTGATTTATATGCGCTTTTTGCCACGTGGGGTATATACACGGACTCTGAACAGTCACTTCATTAAGTACACCTCCATGTTTCTACACTCACTGTCTATTTTATCAGCCTCACTTACCAAATAGATGCACTCTATAGTTCTACAATAATGGACTGCAGCCCAGTTAGCCCCCTTTCACTCTGTTCTCAATGGATAGGGCCCTCACAGAACCACCACAGAACAGGTATTATTTGGCTAGTGAATCATTCTTAGCAGTGCAGTGACACTGACAAGGTGGTGGCAATTCACCACCCAAACAATACCTGCTCTGTGGGGGTCAGGAGCATTAAAGAACAGGGTGAAAGGGGGCTAACAAATTTCATTCCATGAAAACAAATGGACTGCAGTCTGTAATTGTATAACTACAAAGAGCCTATATGGTAAACAGAGCTTGTAAAATGGACAAAGAGTGTAAATATGAGGAGGTGTAGTTAATGAAGTGGTCAGTTGAAGTGTGTGTGTGTGTGTGTTTGTGTGTAAATATATATATATATGATTGTGTATATATATATATATATATATATATACATATATATAGATTTTTATATATATATATATATATATATATACACAAACACAATTAAGTATTTCTAAAGGTTTATTTGTTTCTCTTTTTCCAATTAAGCATAAATGAATATTTGAAAACAATATAATTGTTCAGTTAAAGTGACACTGCTGCTGGCCAATATAAAACATGTAATCATCACTACATCTGTTGTAAACATGCTCACAGTCATCCAACAGCAGCACCACAGCAGTCTTTATAGTGAGATTTTCCAGTTTGATGACTAGAAAAACTCTTTTGGTGACACATTTCAGAGCTGGGAGGAGGTTTTGAAATACTGCAACTGCACTGAGTGAATTTTGGGGGAAGACATTTTTCAGTGGCTAGGCTAGCAGTCAGGATTGGTTGAGAGCACAGGGATTTGCTGCATGAAGTGTTTGCATAATGCATGCTGGGTATTGTAGTGAGAGAAAACTGATGGATGAAAATCTAAAATAACATATAATCATACATTTGATGAAACTGATGACGCTGAGGCGATGCTGTGGTGAAAAATAATGCATAATACAACACATGACATTAAACTTTAGGCCAGAATGCCCCTTTAAATTCTTGGCCTTTTAAAACATCTGATTAATAATCAAAATAATTGGTAGATTACCCAACTAGTAATATAATTAATGGTGACAGCAATAATCTATAATATCAATTTTTACATTAAAACAACACAGAGATTATAGTCTTGTTGACATCACATACAGAATCTGGCTGTGTCAGTTATCTCTAATCTATTACTTCCATGCTCTACTTTCAATCCTGTGCTGTTCAGCATAAAGTAAAGATTTCATGAGCATTCTCTTTTATACTTTAATGAAGAGAGAGAGAGAGAGAGAGAGAGAGAGAGAGAGAGAGAGAGAGAGAGAGAAAGAGAAAGAGAGCTCCTCAGAGTAGATCAAACAAGAGTGCACCATACATGCACAACACACAGATATGAAGACTCACATGGATCAGGCATTTAGAGGGTTCATCTAGCGGTACCACTGCACAGTAAGAGCTTTTATGTACATTAGTGATAGACTGTGACCAGTCATTTGTGGATAAAATACAGGCTGCAGAGAGTGTTAATGCCATAATGTAATACAGAAGAAGCAGCTTCAACTTGATATATATATAGAAAGAGAAGAGAGAAAATAGAGAGTGAGGAGGGGAGACAGACAGAAAGTGAGACACATAGAATAACAGACAGGCAGACACAATGGTCTTGTCATCAAAATGTTTGTTGTGTCTGCTTGGATTGAGGGAAATAGAGAGAGAGAGAGAGAGAGAGAGAGAGAGAGAGAGAGAGAGAGAGAGAGATTAGGGATATTAGTGCACTCCAGGCTCGCAGTAGGTGACACTCACACTGAGATGAGGATCAGAGGAGAGACTGATTAAAGTTTAAAAACCTCATTCAGAGTCTTCATGTCCTCAACAATGAAGCTCTGTGGGAAACCAACTGAGTGCTAACGCCACCCCATTATTAACACTGCTTACACGAACAGTGTGAGACACTAGCCTTTATCTGTAAGCCACCTTGTAAGTTGCTCATAAACAGATTTCCAGCTGTGATTTAATTTGCTGTCCAGATACACCAGTAAAGCCACAAAGCCAAAGCAAAACAGAGGCTCCCCTGAGATTTGTTGTTATAATGGCATTATTATTATTATTATTATTATTATTATTATTAACCATATGTTTTATTGTTATAGCACCTATTATACATATAAATAAAATATAAAAACATAAAAGTGACTAGAAGAAATCGTTTAAAATATTATAAAAACATCAAAAATCAGAAATGGTATGAATAAAATAACAATTATAAAATTAATAAAATAGTGATTTAATAATAATTTTAAAAATTCAAGTTACGTGTAAAGTTTTTTTTTTTTAAACAGCACAAATAATAATAAAGAAATAAAATAAACAATATAAAAGTGAGCTTGATGTGTTTCACAGTGGGTTAAAAAAACTAAAATACTATAATAAAAAATACAAAATCACATAAACATAAAAGTATATATATATATATATATATATATATATATATATGTAATAAATAATGTATGATACATTTAATAATAATTTAAAAACTGAAAAAAGTGACAGCAGGCCTTTCAGGCAACTGAAGAGTTTGTGTTTGGTTTGAATCTCAGCTGTCACAGGAGCCTAAATCACTGCTGCACTTGTACAACCCTTATAAGGATTTTCATGCACCGTCGAACGGAACTGATCTGCACCTGATGGCTGAGTGAAGTTTGAGTGTTAAGGTCAGTGCAGGTCAATCTGAACTGAGTAACATCTGAAATGTGCAACAAACGCTCTTCAGTCCGCGCGCTCATCAGTGTGTACACTCAGCTCCGCGGAGGCGCTGCACGCTGCTGATTCAAAACGAGCTGAGGTCCAGCAGGAGGAGCAGCAGGAGGAGCAGCAGGAGACGGGACGGTGAAGCTGACAGGATTAAAGACAAACTCGCCTCGCGAACAGCAACAAACTGGTTTACTCACAGAAGGGAGAGAGGAAGGGCCCGAGGGGGCGACGTCCTTCACCAGCCACTTCGGGAGGGCAAATAAATAACGTCCGTGTAGTGGCTCTTCACATCATCATAAGCCAGTACTGATCCTCCTCCTCCTCCTCTTTATTGCTCTGATCAGTGCAGTGAGTCCAGCGGAGCAGCACAGACGGACATCTGACCGGCTCATTCACGGCTGCGCGTGTTGCTTTGGCTAAAAACACAAACCAAAATCCATCTGATTAATATGTGTTACGAGCTACATGCAAACACACAGCTCGTACTCCACATCGCTCCTCCTCCTTCCTCCTCTTCCTCCTCTTCCTCCCTCTCCCTCTCTCCGGCGGTGACGTCACGTGAGGAAACGTAACGTACGTAGCTATCCTCTCAAAATAAATAAATAAAAAAATATATAAAAAGGAGAAAATGGTCTGTTTTTTTTCTCTGGATGTCGAGCTGTGTGTTTGCTGAGTGGTCTTAAAAGTAGACCGGGGGTAAATATCGTATATCATGATTTATGGGACTGTCTTTCGTACTCTTTTTCCGTATGGTGCTGTTCCCTTCACTTCTCTCCGCCCCTTCCTTCTTCTCCACTAGCACAACTCCCCCCTCCCGCCCCGGCCCCTCCGTCTTATGCACTTCGTCTATTTATACATGGCTGATGAATAATTGAGGGTAGCAGAAGATTCTGCTTTTCGTGATGAGGTGTCACGGTCTCCTCACTGTGTGGTGTTTCACTCTAACTGCCTCAGTAGGCTAAATATGCACACTCAACAAAGATGGTTCCTCAAGGGTTTTTTATGGTTCTATTTAGAACCATGAGTTCTATACAAAACCATTTCATGCTTGCTTGGTTCTTTGCATGGTGAAATGGATCTTCAGACCGATGGAGAACTGTATATGGTTCTATTTAGCACCAAAACAGGGTTCTGCTATTGTTACAAGCTTGACATCGTAACAATAGAAGAACACTTTTTAGGTGCTATATTGAACCATTTTCTAAAAGGCTCTATATAGAACCATATACAGCACATTCTCCATCACTCTGAAGAACTATTTCACCATGCAAAGAACCATTTAAGCATGAGAGGTTCTATATAGAACTGCTTAATAGAATCGTTGGCTTCACTAAAGAACCCTTGAAGAACCATCTTTTTTAAGTGCGTAGGCTAAACATAGGGACGTTCTAATTTAAGGTCATACAGTACTTCACCCTTACAAAACAAATTATAGTCATTTGGATCTTACTATATATTACTGTTATTACTATATATTACTATATAACTATATAGTAATACATTCCTGTTGTGCTGCAGACTTCTACATTAATCCATAATGTTGCTGCCACCTATAATATCTTTACAGTACTGTGTTATATTAAATCTATAAGATGTGTACACTGTAAAAAAATAAATAAATACAAATGTGAGAAACCTCAAAACTTTAAGGCAACATGATGCATGGTGATAATGTCAGGCTGGCAATAAAATCAATTTTTTTCAGAGAAAAAACACATTACAGCATTTGTAGACACTCTTATCCAGATAGGCTTCCAGTCTAATCATGTTAGAGAGGTAAGCTAATGTAGCTTTAGCAGTCTTTTTAGGGATGCTTATTTATACATCATGATGTGCTGGCCTGGGCAGGGAATCAAACCCCAGTCTGTTGGGAGGGCACAGGTGCTACCTGCTTTCTCTATTATTACTACAGATATTTAAGGGCAGTTAAACAGGACTAAATACACACAGGCATAACGTGGCAGTCACCACTGTGAAGGTACATTAGTTTTTAAAGCAGGCATGTCAAACTGGGAACCTTCTGGGCCAAAGTGCTGCAGAGATTAACATTTACTCCCATCTAACATTCTGAATTCAGTTAATGAAGGCCTTGCTAATTAGCTAATTAGTTGAATAAGGTGTGTTTAATAAGGCGAAGTCTTATTAAGGCGAAGTGTGATGAAGTCTGCAGTGTTTTGACCTGTGAAGACTGGAGCCTGACACATATATCCTAAAGGATCAAATGAACATATCTGGACTGTAAATGAGGCCTTTTTTGTGCCTTAAGCGCGTGATACACCTTCTCATGCTCTGAAAATGTAATTCATCCTCTGATATGGTACATAGGGGTGGGTGATAACACTGATTTTCATTTTGATCTGTAAGTAAAACCAAGGCTAGCTTTCCAATATTGATACAACTGCTTTTAAAGAGCCCACATTATGAAAAACTAATTTTCCATAATTAAAAAAAAACTAAGCTTGATGTAATATGTAAACATTGTTAAAGTTTCAAGTCCCCAGTCCACGTTGTTTTTTGTGATGTCACGAAAACCAGAACATTTACATATATTAACCTTTTCAGCCTTCAGTAGTAAAGTTCCATCCATTCATGCCCATTTTAAGCACTGTTTCAGCTGGGACAGCTTTTAAATGTGGCACAGTAGGCCTACAGGGTAGCCAATCAGAACTGAGGTTATTTGCAATTGTATCAGTCTTAAAGCCACCGTAACAAAAAATAACAAGTTTAATTCCTAAGAGAGGTAGAAGAATGATCATGTATGAAAAGTATAATGACTCTTTTTGGTACATAAACCACAAGTTCTCTTCTGGTGGGGCCAGGCATAAGCAGTGCTAAGCGAGGAGCACTTCCATCATTCAGGTATATGGCTAGTGGAGGACAGAAACCTGGCTTGGTTTTCAGGGAAGGCAGGAAAGCAGTGATTTAAGAGTGGGCAATATGGTAACATCATGAACACATTTTCACAATATGTATCAGAACATTATCACAAAGTTTTTGCTAGTGAACAAGTATAAAATCGATAAAGTATTTTAAGAATGCTGTGAGAAACTAATAGTAACCAGTTGGTATTAACGAATGAATGAAGTAAGGTAATGGCATAAAGGGCACAAATGCAATCAGCTGCTTATGACTATTCAGTTTATGTAGTTACTACACCGGTGGTTGTTGTTTAAAGCCTCTCTATTAATGCTCTAAACAACATCAGGAAAAGCATATAGTCCCAAACTTTATTTAGATTACAATCATATATTGCTGTATTGCCCACCAAGGTTTCTAAAGATGAGACCAGAACTACACAGAGTATCAGCAGATATGAGTAAATTTCTGTAAATACTTTTCTGTACTTTGCCACTCTAGAACATCATCTACTATCTATACTATGCTATACTATGCATGGGCTTTTTGCTATAATTATACAGTGATGGATGTGGCACCAAAGATCATGTGCAGTTGTATGTAAGTTGTATGTAAAGTCGTCTGTAGGTTTTTTTCCCTGTAAAGGATGTTCACCTAGAAAATCAAAGCATGTAATGTGAACCTTATACGTAAAATAAACTTTTGCAAATGACTATGTTCTCACTGTTTGAGAAACAGGCCAAATTGGTTATGATCTTTGAACTGATCAGAGTCATCAGGCACACCCCAAATACTGGCTTTGCAAGCTGGAATGTATTTTCAGCTTTGCCTGAAGTAAAACATGCAAATATCTGTGCATATCATTTGACAAACAAATAGAGAGTGTGAAAGCTACCATTCAGCTAAGGTTTGAAACTCACCCTCTTAGAGATGGAAAAAAAGTACCAATTTACACAGCCAAGTAATTTATTGTTCCATCAGACACTGCATAAGCAACCTTCATGCACATCTTCATAGAGAACAATCCTTCAATTCTGTCACAGAAGTGGCAATCAAAATGAAACGCATAGAAAATTTGTTCAAAGAAAGCAGGGAAAACATTTAAAAACAAGGACAAATATCCAGCATATACAGACAGGAAAGTCAATTCGAAAATATACTATAACAATCTTAAATAATCAAAGCATGAAAACTGCATTGTCAATAGTCAGATGATTCATAACATCACTTAAAATATCACAATATACAAATATAAATAGAACAAAGTTTCTGTTTCTACAAAGCTAATCCTCAGGCAAAGAAACAATACAGCAAAATCATCAGTTCCTCAGAACAAAAAAGAAGCAGTCAATATTGAATACATTTACTAAATCAATTCATAAAAGATCTAGTGAATGTAATGATTCAAGCAAAACAATGCTTACAGCCTAATGTGAAGCATGTTCTATGGATCCTCACTAACTGTTTTATAGCATGCTGAATTCCACTGTTAACTGAGTTTGCACTGTAGTTCCTTTACATTATTCAACAGATTTAAACTAAAACTATACAGGTTAATAATCTAATAGTCAGTGGTTAGAATATAGTCTACAGTCTACAAGCAAACAAATACAACAAAATAAGAGAGTCATTTAAGGCAGACATCATTTGTAAGGATGATAATGGCAGAATTGGACAAGCGTTCTGAAACCAGAAAACACAAGCACAGATCACTGATATGAATGTGATCAGATTTACATTAACTTTTTATGTGTCAGAGTTTGCAGAAGGATTATTTCTGACTGTGTTTAAAAGCGTGTGTATTTATGCTTGTGAATGGGATGCCCTCGTTCCTATCCAGAAAAAAAAAAACAGGGAACATGTACTATGCTGCATGAATTTAATTCTTAAAAGGTACAGTAATGCTTGTAAACCTTTTTAATATTGTCAGTGAAAACACACCTGCTTGAATAGCCATCTTGTAAGAATTAAGGTATAAAAAATAATAAAACAAAATAATAAAAACATCAGCAAAACATGATTACAATAAATGCGCCTTTGCTTTCAAAACTGTCCTTGGAATGCTGTCATATACCTTTCAAACAGCTCTAAAACTTGCTTAGACAGTTTTCAAATGGCAAAGATCACAAATATCAGCTTCACACAACTCATGACACCCAGTTAGTCTGGGTTAAGGAGGTGTAAATTGAGTTCAGTAGCAGCTAATTACTGGTTTTTAGCAGCTTTGTCACGCAAGTGTCCGCCTACCCTGGTCAATCTGTTTCAATTTGAAATCATGATTTGCATGTTAGCATTGTTAGCATATTAATCACAATCGATTTTAATACATATATATGTATTATATATTTACCAGCCACTCCTTTGTAGCTCCACCTTGCTGGTATACAGTTAGAGACTGAAGCTCATCTATTGATTCACAGATTGTGTTAGTAATCCTGTAGGCCTTCATTAGTAGTCAGCTTCTGACCACTGAGCTAGTCCTGGCTAGATATTTTTGGGGCTTGGACCACTGTGAACTTAGCAGTGACGCATAACAGTGACGAACGTAAAAACCCTATACACTCATACCAGCCCCACACATACCACCATACCGCTACAAGGTTAGTTTCACTGCTAGTCTGAAAGTGGTCAGGGGTGGTCCCTATGCTGGTCCCTTTCCATTAATAAACAGGGCAGAGGGTGGTAGACAAATTGTGCAACAACAGATGGGTTAAAGTGTTTAAGTGTATATCTACAAATATCTGCTGTACGGTAAGTTTCTGTTAAAAAGGCCAATTAATGTATGTCCAAGGTAATTGTAGCTGATGAACCAGACACTTAGTGTATATATGCACACATATATCCATATATAGTAAGTATATACAGAAATACACTGTAAATGCCATTACAAATAGTAACATGCAAATTGTTTCTGATCGCTATTTAAGACCATTCAAACTCAGTTTGTAATTATTTTGTCTACCTCCTGTATGTTCTCTGTCAGCATGTTTGTAGAGATGTGTGTGTTCGTGTATTTGTGTGCATGTACACACATACACACGTATACACACACGATTACATATATAAAAACAAAAATAACGCATGTCAAAAAGGCAACAAGGTAAGCACTGCTTAAGTCATTAAATACAACTTCAGGTGAAACAAATGGCGTCAAGCAAAAGTGTCAGAAGATTAAGGGCAGGTTCATTATTCTTGTTTTGTTTAAGCAAATCACTTTGTGCCACACCTACAGGATGCTGTCATTCATCCCGAACTTTTATTCTGATGATTAGGTCTGCATTCTGTATTTTGAAAATTGCCAGAACAGTGTTCCAGCTATTAGTCAACAAAGATTCCACACACTGTCAGAAATAAACGTACTATGCAGGCACATTTTTCATTCATCCAGGTATAAGCAATGTAAATGTACCCTCAAAAGTACAACTATGGTTTTAAGGTCCAACTGTGTACCTTACATACGTCTTCCCAGGGAAAGGATACATACTTGTAACTTTTCATAAGCTAATGTTTTACAACAACAAAGTAAAACGCATGGAGACAAGACAGGATTTATGGAGTGAACACAACTTAAAAAATATAATTGCAATATTTTATGTTACCATTATACTCTCTAACTAAACATACTGAAGATGTAATCTTGAGGGTGCCACCCCAGTGACAGTTTAGTACCTTTTTTCCTGAGAGTGCATGAAACCTTTAGTCAGCCAGTTTATGTTTAAACTCAATTTTACACTAAATTAGTGCAGTTAACCAACAGGCAGCACTTCTTCCCCCATCAGCTACCAGCTAGTCCATCTATTGTGCATTCCAGATTGGTCAAAATGTAGAAGTGTTTTTTTGTTACAAACAACAAATGCCCACATACCAAAATGAGAGCATTATCACCCAGCCTCAATGCATTATTTCCAAAGGTTATTATACTGTATTCCATTTCTTTAGACTTGGGCTGGGTTAATCTCAAACCCTATTTACAATTACAACAACTGTGATAATCACAATAATCATACTTATCTTAATCTATCTAATCTGATTCTTAAAAATCTAATCTGCACCTGGCTGTAAAAAGGCAAGAGTAGTAGAAAGGCAGAAGAAAGTGATTATCTCAAATGTAAATTACTGCTTGAATAGCCATATTGGGACTTGTGCTGTTTTGATTTAGGGACCTTTGGGGGTTGCTTTTCTAGACACAAAGCCTAAACTGGACTAAATGTCTTTTTAAATCAGACTAAAAAGTCTTCCACTGTAGTCTTGTGACAAGACTCTACTGTACTATATTACTCAACACAGACCCAAACAATGGGATTAGAGTCTGGGATGAATGACATTATGCTGCATATGCGACAAACCACTTTATTCAAAAGTACTGAACCTACCCTTCCAGCTCAGCACAGGAGATCCCCATTCACAAACTCACACTCCTCTGGTGCTGTTTGAGGAACTGCTCCTGCTTCTCCTTCCCTGAAATGTCCAGCTTTTTGTTCAATTTGTGTTTCAAGCTTCCTTTCTCTTCATCCTTCTCTTTCCCTTTCTCCTCCTCTTCTCCTGAGAGACTGACAGTGTCGCTCATCTGGCCCAGGTGCTCCACAGAGTCACACTTTTCCAAGTCAGAGGCAATGGTTTTGAAACTGATTACTGAGACAGAGTCAGAACCAGCTACCTCTCCACTAGTTATTTTCTCTTTATCTCTCTCCCACCAGCCAGACTCCCTATGTCTCTCCACCCACTCCATGGTCTTAGTCACACCTCCCTGGCCACCCACCCAATCATTTGACTTGGTGTGGACTTCATAGAGTCCATCTTCAGTCCTTGTACTAATGACTGCCTCTGCTCCTACGGGAGGACTCCGTGCATCAAAGGCTTTTCTAGAGCCCTCCTCTGAATGGTCCTCTCCTCTCTGGGCATGGATCTCCTCACTAATTTTTTCCAGGCGGCGGAGAGTGATCGAGTAACGTTTCTTTACCTCAGTCACACGCTCTTCTAAGTGATTTACTTTCAGTTTGTGCTCCTGAAAACATGAGACAAGAGGTCTCACTAAATAAAGGCCAAATATGAAGGGTAACAGGGTAAATGATCACCAGTTAGTCATAACAAGGCATAAGCTTCTCTGAATCATGAAAGTACAAGGATTTATTATGGTAAGGAAATTACTATAAAAGAGTGTTTTAACAGTAAAGATGATAACACCACAATGCTTTAGATTTTTTTTATAAACCTTTTAGAAAATATATATTGCACACAACTGCCTTCACAGCTACATGCGCTTCTGTGCATTGTTTTTTTTTATAAGCCTGATGAAATAATATTTCTTTACTAAGTTAAATGCAATTACACATACCCAGAAATGAAATTGATAATAAGAATTCTGGGGACTACAATAAAAATATACACCTTCATTCACTGTCTCAATATATCACAAGGCACAATGCTTGACTAGATCTGTGCAAAACCTAAAGCAATGTGAAATCAAACTGACCTCCAGTATGTTGTTGAACTGAGCCTTGAGCTCAAAATAAGGCTTAGACTTGACAATGGCCCTCTTGAGAGACTTCTGCAGGGTTTGCACTCGAGCCTCAGCTGCTTGACACAGCTGAGTGACACGCATGTGCTCTCGCTCACTCCGCAGTCGCTCTTCTTCTGCCTCGTTCACCTGGCGAAGACGAAAACAGTCAAGCATCATCTCTCTCTGACATTCAATTATTGTATTTGAAAATGATACAAAGGCAACACAGACTTTTTGGGTACAGTTCAACATGAAAGAGCCAGAATATTCCTCACATAGCCAGTAATATGTTCCCTTCCACAATCTACTTGAGGAACACTTTTAAAAATTCTATTCAAAGATGGCCTGGAAATCAAATTTGATGATATGGCAGTGAAGGACATGTGATAACTGAAAAAGTCAAAACGCAAACAACAGCAAAAGGCAGCCACTAATAAAAAAAGGTCCAAGGTCAAGACTGCAGCATGCAAGCTGTGGACTTTGGACAAAAAGGCAGTGTAGTTTTATAGGGCAGATACCCTTGCTGTGGCATGATTGAGCATCTCTTGCCAGGTTTGATCCAGAGTCCTGTCTGCTGCAAGACCCTGCTCAGCTACATATACCATCTCCCGTGCAGCAGTGTGCATGGAAACGGCCCTCTCGTAGCTAAGCGCTGCCTTCTGGGTCTCCTGCTGGGCCTAAAAGGTGCATAACACAAACACAAAGCATAAAGAGACAAGGCCAGCCAGGAGCTGGTTTTACATAAATGAATGATAAATCATGATGTTCATCCTCCATTTCATTCATAGTTACACTGAAATGTGTGTATTTTATGGCTTGTCCTTACACTTTTTTCATAATGTGCTGTATGAGTACCTCTTTAGCTAATCTCCGTGCCTCATAGTACGGCCTTGCTTTCTCAATGCAGGTGCCCAGTTGAGAGCTTTGTGCATTAAGCTTCCTGGCTGAATCAGTAAGAATCTTCCTGTAGCTCGACCTCGCTTCCTGAAAAATAAAATGACAAATTCATAATGTAAGTCTTCCAGTGTTTTGAATGAGGACTTTTTGGCCCATATTTGAGCCACATCAGGCTTCAGAGATTTAACACTAAAAAAAACCATGATGTATCACGTACTTCAAGTAAAACAAACACAGAAATAGACAAAAACATTAGATTCTTAAAATACAATACATATAATACTAAATTCTGATAGTGTCAAGAGCATTGTTTTCATAAATACTGGAGCATTTTTCAAAACATCTACTTTTTGCATGTTCATAACACTTGATACCTCTAATACTGATACATTTTGATGTTTCACTTACATCTAGTTGCAGTTCAAGTTGATTTATCTCTTCGCTGGCTTCATTCAGGTGCTCCAGCTCCTCCTGCATGGAGTACAAGAGTTTGAGTCAGCTACCTTAGTATAGTATAGTTCACCTATAATTCATGAATAGTACATAACCTTAGTTGGACATGATGGTGATCAGCAAGTAAGTACTGGTCAAACTATATACTAGTATTGAATTGCACTATATGTCCAAAAGTTTTCTTTCACCTGTTCATCCAGCATTTCTTCCAAAATGTATGACCATCTGCTGCAGTAACAGCCTCTACTCTTCTGATGAGGCTTTGCACTAGATGTTGTAACACTGCAGTGAGAATATGACTGCATTCAGCCACATGAGCATTTGTGAGGTCAGGTACTGCATGTTGGACGATTAGTACTGAATCACAAACTCCAACTCATCCTAAAGGTATTTGATTGATCACTCCGGAGAACACAGTTCCACTGCACCACAACCCAGCGATGATGAGCTTTGTTGATCTCTAGCCGATGCTTAACACTAGGCATGGTAAACTTAGGCTCATGTGTGGCTTCTCCAGAGCTTCTTATCCAACTAATAACACTTTTCTATGGAGGTTATGCAACCTCAGTGTGTGTAATCGAACGTGTCAGCAATAGGTGCACCCTAAAGCAGCTGAATTCACGGAATTCACTGAGAAAGGGTTATCGGTATACTTATGGACATATAGTGTATAATTTCTCTTTGGTGTACCAACAAAGAGTGTATATCTCCCAGATGTACCTCCATAAATTTAATTACATTATCTCAGTTGGACATTGTCGTGATCATAAGGGTTAGTTTCGTATCCGCCAAATACACTAGCTAGCCAGACTAACGTGTGTATGCTAGTTAACATTTACCTGTATTCGAGGGTCCAGCTCGTCATCAGCTGGTTTTCTATGGACCCCTTCCTCTGCTCCTTCTTCTTGTTGTTCTAGTTCTTCATCACACGTCTCATTATCTCCCGTTTTCGCAGACTCGCCGTCGACGTCTCTGTCTTTACATTCAAAAACGCTATTTTCCGCAACTTCAGCGAGGAGAGTTTCTTCCCGATTCCCCACCTTCTTCTCCGCCAGCGCTGCAGAACCAGCCGGACTCTCCCGCAAGCCCGTCCGTTCCGAGTCCATACAAGCTGCCATGGAAAGAAAGATAGCGTGGACAGCTAACCTAACAGCTAGCTAACTAAACTAAAATACGCAGGTTATGTCAGTTAAGTGGTCGCAGTTTTTGTGCGCATCTACATAAGCACATTTGTTTATGCTAATGTTGGTCTAGTAAGGTAACGTTACTAGCTAGCTGAGTTGCTACCCGACCAACCATTTTTAACGACACGACGTTACTTCGTACAACATCTGTGTAATAAAGGCACCAACAAGTCATAAAACGTGTCGTTCATTTAAAACGTTAACTCGCTAGTCAGCCAGCTAATGAATACAAGGCAGCGGAAGGTAAATACAAACGGCTCCATGAGCGGTTTCGGCTTCTGTAGAATCATTACGCAGGTGACACGTCACTGGAGCGTCACTGCGAGCGCCACGCCCCGTTTTTTAGAGAACACACTGGCTGAATCTCAAATGGCTCTTTAGTCCCTACATAGTGCACTTCAGCGGTCGAGAAACTATGGCTTCTACGCCCGAATAGTGTTATAAACATTAGACAGGGAGTCGAATGACCGAATAAAAATAGCTGTTATATTACATTTTATACTATTTATACTACATACATTTTATACTAATATTTACATATTACTATTTGGGTGCAGAAGCCACTATTTTATGTCCCGCGCAGTGCACTACGTAGGGAGTACGGATCCATTTGAGATTCAGCCATTCCTACCGAACAACATTTTCCCTCTGCAGAAAATAATACGTGCCTGATTATCGTGGAAAGCCCATTCAGCTTTTCTCCACAGTTTTTTGATATCAGAAATTACATTTATGCAAGTAAAAGAAAAATAGTTTTATTAATAAGTACGAATTAATGATTAAGTCATATAAAACATGAACTTTAACAGGTAACAAATAGAATTTCAACATATCAATTTCTTTAGCATTGATTATGTTTTAGATTAGATTAGATTCAACTTTATTGTCACTGTGCAAAGTACAGGTACAGAGCCGATGAAATGCAGTTCGCATCTAACCAGAAGTGCAAAATACAGTATTATTTACATATAAAGTGCAGAAGGATGGTAGAGTGGTAAAAAAAAAAAAATAGATATGCAAGTATAAATATAATATACATATATACAGAGTGAGTGGAGAACGTACAAATGTAGGTGGTATGCACTGTGAGAGCAGCATATATAAAAGGTAAGTATGCAGAGTGAACTTGTACAGTAACTGTGCAAATATGAACAGTGCAGTAATAGACTGTGCAAATATGAACAGTGGATACCAGGACATAAAGTACAATAACAGTGCAGTGAGTGCAAAGATGCAGTTAAAGTGGCAGTGAGGAGTTCAGCAGGGTCACAGCCTCAGGGAAGAAGCTCTTCCTGAGCCTGCTGGTGTGGAGGCTTCTGTACTGCCTGCAGATGGGAGGAAGGTAAAAAGTCCATGGTTAGGATGAGAAACGTCCCTGATGATGTTCCTCGCACTGCCCAGGCAGCACTTATGGTAAATGTTCTTAATGGAGGGTAACTGGGTACCCGTGATGCGTTGGGGAGTTTTCACCACCCGCTGGAGCACATTTTGCGGTCAGATGCGGAGCAGTTGATGTACCACACTGAGATGCAATTCAGTTATCACAATTAAAAACTCATGGCTGTTCCAAATTCAAGGGAGGACCAGTTTTTACTAGTATGAATTTAACTTGACATTTTATATAACGTTTTACATATACATTTAAGAATTTAACTTAATTTAGTCTTATTAAATTCTAAATATTTGGTGTTTGAATTAGTTCTTGTATGTTAAAAAAAAAGGTATTGAATTTTCACATGTAACACTACAGTTCACTATTAAGAAATCAGTTAAATAAAATATTTCACCATGTCAAAATATAATTTACACTGAGGTACCACATGTTAAAATTAAATCTGCACCAGTATCAAGTGGTCCTCCTTTGAAATGAACTGAGAAAAGTAATCAGTTTTTACTAATGATAACTGAATTAATTGATTACTGACATTATATACAAATCCTGCTTGTTACATTTTCACATTAGAATTTTTTATGTCAAACATTATCCACAGATTGTCTCTCCATCCCCTCACGCTCTGTGTGTGGCCCAGTCCCCTATCTGATACAGTCTCTGTATAATGCATCATTTCATAAATGCTTTTATTGGGCCTTCATGTGACTAGTTCTCATTAGGAGATGTGGGAACACAAAATCACAGCAGTGGCAAAAAGAGACTTGTGGGGGTGGCATTATGAATGTTTCTGGTCATTTGTAGTACACAAAACTGACCTAGTTAGAGGGATTCACAATCAGGGTTGTACTGTGTAAGAAAAGAGGACTTTCTATAAGATTTGGTTTATATGTCTGTAGATGTTTGTGAGTATTATGCCTCGGTGGCTGAAAGTTCAATCTTTGGCTGTTTTCTATTTAAGCCCTAATACGTATAATGCTGTACTACTGTCTAATTCTGTATCTCCTCTCAGTCAACCACTCTCACCCTTCTTGAGGCACCAGAGTAAAAGATATCTGTGTCAGCAAAGTATATTAAGAAAGCAGATAACATCATGTTCTAATGTGGTTATGACAAGATGTAGATTTGATGTAAACTGTACATGCTGTCTGTGACAAACAGCAAGGCCAGTACTTCTGCTGAGCCTGAGCACTACACTAAAACTCTGTGAGTTTGTTTTCATTCTTCAGATGTGTAGTGGGAAACAATGGAAGTGCAGAGAGGCAGAGGACCAAAGGATGAATAAGCACTGTTAAGCACTGGATATATTTCACTAAAAAAGCAAAGTTACCCATAAATTTCCTTTTGTCTACAGCAAACAGGTTTTGGGAAGTATAGGGAGCTAGCATTAATGCTGCTGAGTGCTGATTGGTTGGCAATACTGATACTGAGTGATGATTGGTTGGCATTACTGCCTCTGAATGCTTATTGGTTGTCAAGCATAGCAGGTCATGGGCTGCATGCAGCAGTTCCAAAAATTATATATAAGGTACTGCATGCCTTTTCAAGTGAATGGGGTGAAAAGGGGTTTAGTTTCTAAAGTTTCTTAAAACTGTTTTTTCTTAAAATCAGCTCTTCTGAAAATTGCATATAATCACTAAAGTTTGGTGAAATGGCAGAATTTCCCGCTGGTGTGAATGGGGCCTAGAGTCTCTGTTATCTATGTTGAATGAGCCCCTCTTCCCACATTCTCAGAAATATTTTGTCACGTATCCTCTCTGGCGGTTTGTGCTCACTGACGTCATACACCAGTAATAAAGTCCTTTAACTGGAGTTCAAAAGTGCTCAAAATAATAACAGCCGTGTTCAAATGTTTTGTGCTGTTCTGTGTTCAGGAAATGAGTGCATTCCTCTATATAACAATGTCTAAGCATTTACAACTATGATTTTGCTCAAATGCTCCATATTAACCCATTCATTTTGGTCTCGCCCAGGAGCACCCTCTAGCGTTGGACAAACCCGGAAAATATTACAGAGTGGCAACTCTCTTCTCTATAAAATCTCTGCTGTGGTCTGGATCTGAGCACCCACTGCTGAGGGTCTCCACTGTCAGTCTGCAGGCCTGGAGTTATTTTGTGTCATGTATTAGGGTTTCAAAGGCCGGCGCATCCATTTAAGCAAATTAAGCGTACAACCAACTATAGCTACTGTTAATTCATTATGTTACCTGTATAATTTATAGCCCCCCCCCCTCTTTTTTTTTTTATAAATTCCTGTAAAAATGTTCCAGTGAAAAAACTATCCCAGAATTCCAAGAAATCTCTTCAAAAGTAAAATGGGAACACTAAAGACATACATGTCTAACAAGCCAGCCTGCCTCATTCTTCCTTCTCCTCTCTACACCCACCTAACATCACCCAAACCTTTCCAGCCAAAGACCGGCTGAAATTTATGTAAACAAGTTTGTTATTCTCAACTCTCTACACCATGATGAGTTCCACTTTTGAGTTTCGTTTCCTTTTAGTTTCTTTTCCAACACGGTCATGTTCAGTTTGCTTAACAAGGCCATAGATCAACCATCAGAAAATGGCTTTGTGATAATACCTCTCTTAAAAGACCAGTATACTTAAAAAAAAATAAATAAAAAAAAATAGAATAACGCTGTTGCTGTACTAGATTTCATACAGATCCATGTTTTTATTGCACAGAGGCAGTGAGTTAAAGATTGCAAAAAGTTTGTTTTATTTCCTCCACATATTAAATCCCCAAATTGCAGTATAATAGTGACAATTTGTCAATGAACAGATCTTTCCAAATACATTTAAAAGCTACATAAGTTGTCTGAAACAACATATAACAACCACCACCACTTAACGTGAACTTTAGAACTTCACACAGAATTAAAAAAAAACAAAACAAACAAACTAAGAAAGTCTGAAGGCACTTAAAACAGTATTTAGATGAGAGGTGAATACAGTTTTCTATGTCTTGTACACAACATCTGCATTAAGTTCTGATCATATCATGGTAATATTCATAACTGATCAGTATAAATTACATTTATGGTGGCAGCTTGGTGTAACAATTCCAACACATATATCCAACACTGAATGTGTATATGTCTCTCTTCTCTTAAAAATGTTAACATTGACCTGAGGCATGGAAGTCAACTAATCTACACTACCTTCTTTGGTGTCATGTCAGTGCCAACCCTGGCAATACCAAATTTATCTTGTTTATCTCTTCTTTCCACCATAGTCCACTATTAGGCCTACTTCTTTTCTTCTGAAGCACCTGTGGCATGTTCTGCATGATGCAAAGTACAGTAAAATACAGTATGATTTATCTGTGCTGACAACATGAACAAAATTTTTTCCCCCAAGAGACAGCCTTCCTCAACTCCAGCTTGGATCGTACCGGTTCCAACCAACAGGTGGTGCTATGTAGATCCGTCTTCCTCGCAACAAGAAGCTGACAACACCTCGATAACCTGCTCGCGGCACTCCAGACTTCAAGTCATCCATGACCCCGAGGTTGCGTGCTAGGGCTTTGAAACTTTCAGGAC